GGCAGTGTTTCATTCTGTTGTGCATAGGATCGCTATGAGTTGGTACCAACTTGATGGTACCTAACAACAACAACTGCTTAATCCATGCTCAATGAACCAACCAAGTAACCCATGAGATCCTTTGTTAGCCTCGTAAGCTGAAACATGGAGTCCTGGTGTGGCGCTGTAGGATAACGCACTGGGCTGAAAAGTGGGTTTGAGCTGCAAGGTGGAGAGTTCTAACTCACTAGCCATTCCTTGGAAACCCTATACGGGGTCGCTGTGAGTTGGAACCAGCTCAACGGCACTTAACAACAACAGTGAAGCTGAAACACTGAATGAAGGACCTGTGCTTAATGGGTCAATATGGAGAAACTTAGACCGATCCAACCTTACGGTCCTTGCTCCATCATAAAAGCCATCGTCTCACATATGTCCCAGGGTTCTGTTATATATACATATTGTTGTTATGTGCCGTGGAGTCGGTTCCGACTCATAGCGACCCTACACAGGGTTTCCGAGGCTGTTAATCTTTACGGGAGCAGAACGCCTCATCTTTCTCCTGCGGAGCAGCTGGTAGTTTCGAACTGCTGACCTTGCGGTTCACAGCCCAATTCATAACCACTACGCTACCAGAGTGTATATATATATATATATTTATAACCAGTCAGCAGGCATTGTGAAATACAGTATACCTCATGGGTCACACTTTGTACTTTACCTGTTGGGGCTTTCTATACGAGGAGGCTTTAAAAACCTTGTAGAAAAATTCTATTATCTTTCAATTAAATTTTTCCACTAACTTTATGAAGTCCCGTTGGAGGTGTCAAAGCAATAACGGGTGATGGGCCTGGGTCCTGGGGACAGTCAACAATGTCTTTTAAGGCATCTGTCTCGGGCTATGCTCCAGGCTCTCCCACAGGGAAGGTGAAAATTCTATGACTGAGTTACTATTACCCCCAACACATGGAATGTTGTTGTTAAGTGTCATGGAGTGGATTCCAACTCTTAGAGATCCTGTGTAGGGTTGCCAAGGAGTGGCTAGTAGACTTGAACTGCTGACATTGCAGTTAGCAGTCCAGTGCTTATTCTACGATACATTTATTAGAATGTCCAGAATAAAAAGTACTAATAATGCCAAGTATTAACAAGGGTGCAGGGAAATTAGAATTCTCATTATTGCTGCCATAAATGCATAATAGCACAGCCACTTTGGAAAATGATTTGCCAGTTTATTTGAAAATATATATTTACCATACAACCCAGTGATCCCAGGCTATCCTGGGAAAACAAAACTTATGTTCATGTAAAAGCCTATACATAAATCTTTATAGAATCTCTAG